GGTGAGAGGAAGAAAAAAATGTAGATAAAAACACAGTGACAATTTGTTGCTTTAAGTCTACTTAAAGGTCTGTGGCTTTCAAAGCCATTATATTGGACTCATTCTATAACTCCAATAAAATATCTTCTAGTACTCCATGCATATATCTTTTGCCCCAGCCAGGGAGGCATCTTTATTTTTCTTGGCATACCGCAGGCTATATTCTTATCTCTATTCTTTTGCCCATGTTGCTCCCATATCTTGGGATTGCTCTTCTTTATCCTCTTCACTTACTTGAATTCTTTCTGTTCTTCAAATTGTAGCTGTCCCAACTCTTCTATGGAGTGTTTTCAAACTGCTTCCAGTCCCAATGTTTTCTCTTTTTGAAACCTCTTTCTGTACTTGTATTCTGATCCACATAATTTAACATATAATTATCCTTTGCTTCCTGTTATTAGTTTTATTTCTTTGGCTAAATTGTAACTTCCTTAAGGACAAGGGACCAGGCCTCATACTTCTTTGAGTCTAGAATTTGAATTCTCAAAATGGGGTCTCTGAACCAGCATCATTGGCATTCTCTGGGAGCTTGTTAGAAATACTTGTTATCAGGCCCCATCCCAGACTTACTGAATCAGAAATTTGGGGGAGGGGACCAGAAATCTGTGTTTTAACAAGCACAACATGTGAGTCTCATTTACACTCAAGTTTGAGAACCACTTGTCCCTAGACCATGTAGTGGGTAACTCAATAAACACTTAATAGGATAATCTAGTTACTTACTATGGATTTTCTGAATATCTTTGTGCCTTTGCAAATGGTGAATTAAACTCTGTTTCTTACATATAAAATTGATGTTACGTTCTTTAAAAATCTTAAAACATCAATTGATTAGAGTTTGTTAAGAACCATGGGAAAAAAAAATCAACCCACTAGACCAGTGTTTCTCAAGCTCTGTTCTGTAGATGGCTTCTGTGAAAAGTAACCTTGGGAGTATTTAATAATACAGATTCCTGAGCTGTACCCTAGAGATTCTGATTTAGTAAGTCTGAGGTTTGGTCCTGAAAATTGTCATTTTTAAGGTTCCCAAATGAATCTGATATGCAGCCCTTTTGGAATTGTACCAGGCTCTCCAGTTCTACACCTTATGCATTCATTTATTCTGCAAATATTTATGGAGCTCCTACTTTGGTCCAGATACTTTCTAGGTATTGTACTTTGCTCCCTCTGATCATATTCCTGGGCAGCCTCACTATCAATATTATGAGCCATTTGTTTCTTTTCTCACTTATTAATGTTTACTGTATTCTTTCTGAGGTGATTCCTGTGATTCCATAGGCATTGGTAATTTTTTCATGTACCCATCTTTTCATTATGTTAAACTCTTGAAGTTTCAGAACACTCTACAAATTTCTTTAGTGATGTACTTTTTTGCTTGTTTGAGCCCTAGCCTCCGAGTTCCCTGATGTACTCAATTCTGATTACTTTCTCCTGTACTCATTGTTGGCCACCCACTTTCATGCCCACGTCTTGAACATTGATGTTCACCCAAAATTGACCTTTGAATCTCTGAAATGTTAAACTTCAAAATCCTACTCTTTCACCATAGGTTTCTTGTCTTCTAACTTTTCTCTTGCTATATCTGTTCTTTAGACCTCCAGGCTCTTTAACTCTCTTTTTCCCTCATCTGCCATTTTCCTATCATCATCTGCTTTCTTTATTCAGTCTGGATCCTATTGCCTAGTACTTTAATCCATTCTTTCTTGTCCACTTGTTTCATTTGAAACTGAATCCATACCACTTCTCTGCTCTTAGATCCAGGCTCCTGGGCATTCCTAAAGGAAAAAAAAAAGTCTCACAACTGTGTGCATCTGTATTACTAGAAATTCCCAGTGGGTTTGGCATTTCTAAACATATTATTCTACTTGATGTTTACAGACAACGTGCCTGATCCATTCCACACAGTACACCCACTGATTGAAATGCTCTTATGCATCTCCCCACCTCCACTCTTCTTTATCTGGCTCACTCCACTCAGACTGCAGGCCTCAGCTTAGATGTCACCTCTTCCAGGAAGTTTATCCCAAACCTCCTATCCATACTGGGTCAAGCTGTTTCCTGTTTGTTTCCTGTCCATTCCTGCTTACCTCTACTTGGACTTATTTCAATGTGATATTATTATCAGCCTGTATATCTGCCTTCCCTTCTAAGTTTTAAGCTCCTTAATGAAAGGTCCTATGTCTTATGCATCTTCATGTCTCTAATGTTTATTTCATAAATGAGCAAATGAACCAGCGAGTGAATAGAGTGTACAGTAAGTTGACCTGTACTTTTCAAGAGTGACTATGCTGGCCATAATATATGACCTTTTACATGAAAAGAAGAAAATCACTTCTAGGACACTGGCCAAATAAGTTTACCTGTTCTTTTTCCATTGGGAATTCTCATTAGATATTGGATAGAATACCTAACTTTGGATCTTAGTAATAAATGTGAGTCATATAGCCAGTTAGTGATAAGGCTGAATTTAAAACCAAATCCTCTGAAACCTAGACCAGTTCAGGCTGTGTTGCATTTCTGTTTGTTAATTAAGGGAAACTGTACACCACTAAATTTAAAATAAAATCTGTGGATAAAGAAAGCATAGTTATTTTAATGACATAAAGTAGGATATGCTGAAAAGCAATATTGAAAGTGTTAGAAAAATGTATAAGTTCTCAACTTCTCTAAAATTCTGAAATTCAAAAAATTTTGCAAACCTGAAGATTTTTTCCTAATTCACTTGGCAGCAAAACCTGTTCTGACTTGACCTGAGATTTTTTCCAAGTCATTATTCAGTGCTTTTTTATATATTTTGTTACAGAAATATTACTGTATTTGATTACGAGATGTTGCCCCAGACCCCATGGGAGTGTTGTGTAATATTAAGTATATCATGACATATTATGTTTCTAAAATCCCCAAAGTTCTGTATTCTGAAACACATCTGGCTGTAAGTGAATGAGTACTGTTTAGTGTTTCAGTTATTTTATTTTATTTTTTTGAGTCTAGTTAACAACATGGCAACATAAATAGGCCATAGGTAAATCATATATTTTTTGCCTTCACTCACTATTTCATTTATGCCTGAAGATTTTTTTTATGATTAATTAGGAAAAAGGCTTTTTTTTTTTTTTCTTTTTTGCTCTGTATCATACCTAGTGAAGCTCAGTGACAACCCAGTAATGCAGTTTTAAGGGAGACAAGTGAGTATTACCTTCAAAGTCATTATTTCAAAGGCAGGCTTATCTATCTCTGGGCCCCACATGCTCAGAACCTGGTTGCTCCGTACAGCTAAGTAGCACTGTCAGGATCCTGTTGTCCTCTTCTGCATGCTACCTAGCACTGAGCTGAGGATAAGATTATCTGTTTTTACCTCTTCGTAATATTGTGCACAAATATTTCTCTCTTTCTTTCTGTTTTTGGGTTTTTCTCCATACCTCTGCCATGAACATTCCTATTCTTTCTCCTTGGTGTGTGATTAGTTTTTAGAAAGTGAAGGTCCTATAAACATAAAAATCAGCTAACATCGCCATTTCCTGTGTGGGTTATTAAAAGGTGTAAGGTAAGGTTCCAGCCTGAAGGAATTTATAAGCTTTGAGGGAAGAAAGAGACAGGTTAGCATAGTAGGGGAGAGATTGACTTTAGATTTAGGTAGGTCTGGATTTGAACCCTGGCTTTACTACTAAGTAGCTTGGTGACCTTGGGTAAGTTACTTTCCATCTTGGTGCCTCAGTTTCCTCACCTGAAAAATGGGAATAATAGAAGTAGTACCTGCTTCATCAAGTTATCATGAAGATTAAATGAGATCATGCATATGAAATGCTTATACAAAGGCCTGGGCACGTAGGAAGTCTATCATAGCCCTTATTAGCTAACACTGCAGTATGGTTTAATGGAAGGAGCCCGTGCTTTAGAGTCAGACAGGCCTATGTCGAAATCCTAGAATCTCCATATACTACCTATGTGTGACCTTGGGTGAGTTACCTTACTTCTCAAAGCCCCAGTATAATCATTTGAAAAATAGGAAACACAGAATCCACCTTCTAGGGTTGTTGGGAGAATTAAATGAGATAAAGTATGTAAAGCATTTAGCCAAGGTCTTGGCATATGATAGCCTCTTCAGTGCCCCCTCCACCCACTGTCCACACAAACACAAGGGAGTATAGGATTTGATTACCAGATGACAATAATAGTAAATGAAAATGCTTTGATAATTATAAATGCTAATCTAATGTGCACCATTAGTATTTTGTTTTGAAGTTCATAGGAGGGAGGAATCCCTCTAGACTGAGAGTGAAAGGGAAGGTTTTCTAGACAAGATAATATCTAAGCTGGGTGTTGAAGTGTGCATAACACTGATGTCAACAGAGAGAAGTAGGACAGCATTCTTGTTGTGGAGGACCAAATGATCAAAATGAGTGTGCATAGAGTAATAATGATGGTTACAATGATAAATATGAGTGAGGCAAGTGTAATACTTTCTATCAGGTTTATTAAATCTGGTGAGTTAAAAAAATCAGGTGGGATCATCCCACAGGCAGGAAAGGAAAAAATAAAAGGAAAAGTCAGGTGGGAAAGTGTGAAGATTTATCTGTGCACATATCCTTTTTCTTTATTATTTTTTTAATACTGCATAAGTTTTTTATTTATTTTTTTATTTTATTTTTTTAAATTTAATTTTATTTTGTCAATATACAATGTGGATGATTATTGTGGCCTATTACTGAAACCTTCCTTCCTGCTCCCTCCCCCCTCCCTCCCAACAATGTCCTTTCTGTTTGCTTGTCCTATCAACTTCATGGAATTGTAATTGTTGTGCCTTCTTCCCTCACCACACCCCGGTTTTTTGTGTATTTATTTATTTATTTTTAGCTCCCACAAATAAGTGAGAACATGTGCACATATCCTTTTTCTTATAACCCCCCATTGTTATTCAGTCACTTTTGAGAAATAAAGTTTCACTTGAACTTTTCATGTTACAGCAAATTGGCCTACTATTTACAAAGGATAGTCGACAACATTTTTAAGTGTTTGAGGAATCGAAGAAACAGACCAAACGATGATACTGAAATGATAGGAAGAGCAGTGGAAGGTGAGGAAAGTGAGGAAGTTGATGACGATGAAGAAAGTGAGGAAGACAGTCAAGAGAACAGAGGTAATTGACAATAGGATGTAAAGTTGAAGGGCTCAATCTCTGATTCTTGTTAGCTTTATATTTCTACCATCATCTTGGGTTGACTGACACCTATTTTTTACCCCATATATGTTTGGACCACAGAGGGACAGCTTCTGAAATGATATTATCACTAGGAATATTTGGATGGTAGGAAAGTGGACAAGAAATGTCCCAAATTATGTAGGTGCCACATTATTTGCTACACATAGTTCAGCCCTTCAGTGGGAGCAAAGAAATGGAATCTGCCCACTCTGACTCTGAGGCTCCATGATGGACACCCTTGCTAAATAATAATTGTCATGGTCCCCAATTTGTGTTGACCATACTACATATCCAGGGCAAGGAGCATGGCTTCAGGAGTCTGACAGACCTGGTGTCGAATCCTGCATCTTAGCTGTTAGTCTCAGCTACCTGCTCCTCAAACCTGCACAGTGCAGTGTTAGAAGAGGTTAAGAGAGTTATCCCAGAATCATATACCAGGGACTATCTGGGCCTCACTTGCACAGGCTTACAGATTCTCTAGACTTGACCTGGGTCTCGTCCTCCCAAAATAACCATGAAAGGCAAAGTGAAAATAAAATGGGTGGTGAGAAAAGAGGAAATACTTCAGGGACTAGAGTACTGGACTGGGAGCAAGGAGACCCAGGTCATTAACTAGTGGTGTTTCCATGGGCCAGTAACTTAACTATTCAGCTCTTTAATATCATCATTTGACATTTTTTTATGTAGCTTAAGCAATATAAAATATGTGAAAATGCTTTGAAAATTGCAATACACTACTCAAATTTAAAGTGTTAATTTCTAGCCCCACTTACAGAGAAGCAGAGTGAAATAACAGACCGTTAAACTTTAGTCTCAGTTCTGCCGTTGCTTACAGTGTAATCTTGGGCATGTCCTTAAATTTCCTGGGCCTCAGTTCACCAATCTGCAAAATGAAAAAAAAAAAAAAAGTTTATACTAGATGAATAGGAAAAGAGACTTATCTCAGGAAAAGAAAAAGAAAATCTTTATACAAAGTATTTTATATATGTGTGTGTGTGTGTGTGTGTGTGTGTGTTTACATATGACATATATTATTTATTTAAGGTAATACATAAATTTATAATAATAATAAAACATGGATATTATTATTCATGCTAATATATTACCTTACATGAGTTTAATACAATACATGGACGTGCACATGTACACATGCATACACACATAGGCTCATATATGACATTATAACCAAACTAACAAGACTTGATTTCTCTGGGTCATTCACTGGGGCATGGAAGTTAATTTTGTTATTCAGAAATTATCTCTGTAATGGTATTTGCTATTGTATATTTTGTCTGTATGTCTCACAGTAACATAAGATGCACTGGCAAACTGGAAATAGATAAGTAAATCACAAATTCAATACGTAGAGTTAGAGGATTTTGTTGCAGTCATTTCTTTTTATAACAAACTGTGATGTATGCATACCAGTCGTTTCAAGTTGTTTAACCCTACTTTACTTTTCTCCCATAGCATTACTTTCCTGGTAAGATGAATGCAAACCATCCAGAGCAGAGGAGACTGTCTCAGTTATCCAAACCTAATGGGACATTTAAAAAATGGATCTTATTTTTGTCATATTTACTTTCAAATATGAAATAAACTTTGTAGTTCTGTTTTTGTGCATCAAACCAGAATCTGAATTTTTTTTTATTAAAAATTGTTTCTACAAAATTTTTAAAACAATGTGTAAAGCACTGGTAGCATTTCAGGTCTAAATATTGATCTGATTTTTGCAACTTGCTTCATTTTATCAACATATACTTCTGTTGATGCCAAATAAGGCAGAGATTTCATGTTGTTACTCACGTTCGAGCAAAGTGGGGGAAAAAAACCCCAGTGATCATATTTCATTATATGTGGTATTCTTTTGTTTTTAGGAAAAGAGGTGAACATATTTTGTAGGAGGGTTGTTCTTTTTATTTTAAACTTATAACATTATTTTTCCACCATAAAAGTAAGACATGATTATTATAGAAAATTCAGTAAATAAGGATATGTGAAAGAAAAAAAAAACATAATCTCATTAACTAGAGCTAAATACTGTTATCTTGTTATATTTTCTTTACTTTCTAAAGAAAACAATTGTGTTCTGTGATATACATAAATTCATTATGCTTATTTTTTAAAAAAAGTATATCTTTTTAATGTTTCAGTTTCCTCTTTTGAAATGCATGGGACTAAAGTTTACCTGGGCTTGTTACTCATTCACTCAACAAACATTTATTGAAGCCCTGCTGTGTGCCATGCACCCTTTGTGTGCTGGAGATACAGTCATGAGCAAGACAGATTGGCCTTGCCTTCATGGAACTCACAATCTAGCTGGAGAGGAAGCCAGGTAAAGAAATAACGACAAGGCTAAAATACAAAGAGTACCAAGGTCTATGGGAACACATAACAGGGGTACCTAGCCCAGACTAGTAATCACTTGGAGAATGAGAAGAACTGAAAGGGAAGGACACTCAAGTTTCCCAGGAATCAGTTATGACCTGAATAGATTGCATTTCTGAGGGAAGGATTCTTCATTTTTGGTGATCAGAAAAGAAAACAAACTCCTGTTAACGAAAATTCCAGATAGGTATGGGTGGACCAAAGCTTGCATTTTAATGAATGTAAAAGAGTACTTGTAAAATGGAGGTTCATAAAGACACTGTGCCCAAGAAATGTGCTCTTGTGCATATGCTGCCTGTTGCAGGAAGTGTCATTTGATCCAACAAAGCCCAAAGCCCTGCACTTGAAAATGATTGCTGAAGGTAAGATCCACAACATGTGCACTGCAAGATTTACCAAGACAGCAATATCGTCATCTTCTGAAGAAGCTATTGAGTGTTTGGTAGACACCAGACAGAAGCAGACCTGTTGCAGATACCCTTTTGATTCAGGAGTCCAAATTTTTCAGTGGCTCCCTTGGGTACAAATGAAAATAATGTGTTCATTTATTCATTTATTCAACAATACTTACCAAGTACTATAGTGCTGGGGAGGTAGAAGTGAACAAAACATACAAAAATCTCTGCCCTTATGGAGTTTACATTCTAGTAAGGTAGGCAGAAAAAAATAAATAAATCAATAGAATACATAGACAATATGTGCAAGGGGGACAAATAAAGCAGGGAAAAGGACTAGGGTGTGTGAGGGAGGTTTGTAGTTTTAGATAAGGTGGTCAGAAAAGACCTCACTGAGAATATGATATTTGAGTAAAGAACTCAGGAAGTAAGGGACCAAGCTGTGCCAACATCTGGGGGAACAGCATTCCAGACAGAGGAACCCAGTGCAAAGGCCCTGAAGCAGAGCCTGCCTTGCATATTCAAAGAAGAACACAGAGGAGGAATTCCAAGGAGACCAGTATGGCTGAGGAAGAGTGATCAGTGGGGATAGAAGTGAGAGCTGAGGTCAGAGAGTTAATGGTAGTAGGTGGAGGGGCAGATTGGCTTTCATTTTGAGTGATTTGGGAAGCAATTGGGGGATTTAAAGAAGATGAGTGACACAATCTGACTTTTGTTTTAACATGAGCATTCTGGATACCACTCGAAAAAAGACTTTAAGGGGTAGGTGCAGAAGCAGGGATACTAGCTTGGAAATTTGATGGTGGCTCAGATCAGGGTAGTAACAGTAGAAATAGTAAAGTGGTCTTATTCTTGATATATTTTGAAGAAAGAGCTGGTAAGATTTACTGAACAATAGTGTATGGGGTATAAGAAACAAAATTAAATATAACAACATGAAATCTCTGCCTCATTTGGCATCAACAAGAATCAGGATTTTTTTCCTGGACACCTAGATTATAAATTTTGTTGTAAGCAAAAGAACTAACAAGACAAAACTAGAAGGTAATAGAGAACATGAAGCCAATAACAGTCACTGATGACTCAGAAAAATCATGGAAGTTTTATGGGAGGTAGGTAATCTGTCTTCAAAAACTATTTCGCTAAGAAATACACAGTTTTTTTATGATTGTGTATGTGCGGACCCATAGGGTGAAAGTAGCAATCAAAGCTTGTGATTAATGGTTAAGCAAAAAGAAGAGTAAGAATTCATCTGGTTATGGAAGAACTTTTGAAAGTCCTGCTAGTGATGTATTTTTAAAAACTGACCTCCTGATCTCCACCTTAACTTGTTTTGTTTTTTTCGTATCACTTATCGCCTGTGATCCTACTATATAATTTAGTTATTTATTATGCTAATTGTTTATTATTTGCCTTCCGCTTCCAGAATGTAAGCTCAACTAGGAGAGGGATTTTTATGTGTTTCAGTAGTGCATCCCTATATTAGAGTTCTTCAGAGAATCACAACCAATAGAGTGTGTGTGTGTCTGTGTGTGTAAGATTTATTATAAGAAATATGCTCAGGCAGTTATGGAGATGGACAAGTCTCCAAGATTTGCAGAGTGAGTTGGCAAGCTGGAGATCCAGGAGAACCAATGGTTTAGTTTCTGTCTGAGTTCAAAGGCCTGAGAACCAGGAGAGACAATGGTATAGTTCCCATCAGAAAGCTGGCAGCCTTGAAGTCCAGGAAGAGCCAATGTACCAGTTTGAAGGTATTCAGGCAAGAAGAATTTGTTCTTACTCAGGGGAAGGTTACCCTTTTTGTTCTACTCAGGCCTTCAACTGATTGGACGAGGCCAGCCTACATGAGGGAGAGCAATCTACTTTACTCAGTCTGTTTATTGAAATGTTAATCTCATCCAAAAACATCCTCATGGAAACACCCAGAATAATGTGTGAGCAAATATCTGGGCACCTAGTGGCCCAGTCAAGTTTACATATAAAATTAACTACAATCCCAAGTGCTTAGGACAGTATTTGGCACATAGTAGTTGCTCAATGAATAAAGTGCCTATTGGATTATTGAATTAGAAACAAAGATTATTTGTGGAGTTCTTCATATTTGCTATGATGAACAGGCACTTCCAAGGCAAACAAATCTTAGGGAAAAAAAAAATCGTGTATACCAAATGGTCACCAGATTTCAGTAAACAAGTGGTAGCTTTTAAAGCTATTCCCCAAGAATCTAATACTGCTGCTCTGAATTTTAAGAGCTGTATTCAGGGTTACCTAAATGAAAAAGAGAAACAAAGTTCTTTGAGTAGAAATAAGTAATAAAACAACTACATACGGAAACAAATACTTTATAAGATTGAAATTTTAGCATAAACAGTTGTAATCTATGAAGAAGATAAGCATAGTCTGAAGCAGTACTTTGAAAGCAAGAGAGAGGAACCTCTGCAACTGTTCTCTAACAGATTAGAAGCTAGGTTGCAGGGGTACGCTGACAAAGGTTACCATTTAAGTGAGCAAAGAATGTGAGCTTAGAGCTGTAGTCAAACAGTTAGTGATGCAGAATAAATGTTGAACCACAGATGAAAAGTTGAAGTGATTGTTTTTTTTTTTTTTATTATTAAAGATTAAAAGCCAAAGGGACCCTCATAAGAGTGGGAAGGAAATAAGGTTGTTCAAGGTGCTGTCTCCAACACCAGTGCCTAAGGCACTACCAAAGCATGTCTGACATGAACAATCAAGCTCTGCAAGAAATAGGTGGGTTGTTCACAAGCATGTCACTAACGTGCAGACAATAAATTACATAGTCACTTCTCTCAAACTTTACCGTATCAGTTGACACTAGCTAAATGAGAAGTACCTCTGATGCAGAGCCATAACTTAACCTGGTTAGGGTGACTGCTTTAAAACCAGAGGTGAAGACATTCTCCCTAGCTTCATGAACACTGAGACATCAAATCAAGAATCACAAAATGGTCAAAAATAAAGATCTTCCACTTCAGCTCCTGAACAACCAGACTTTGGTAGGTGCCTTGGGTTTAATATCCCTTCAAAACTTAATCCCCACTGTAACTGTTGAAGGTGGGAAATGCTCTTATGGTAATTGAAAGGTGGGGCCTTGAAGAGGTGATTAAGTTGATGGTTTAATGGTGGTCGGGGTGTGGTTTTGAGGCATTTAAAAGGAGAGGGCATGAGGAATTATCTCTCTTACTGCTCTTCCATTTTCTGCCTGTATTTCTGTAAAGCCACCACCAAAGAAAACCCTCACCAGATATGTTCCCTGGACTTTGGACGTCTCAGCCTTTGAAACTGTAAGCAATAAATTTCGTTTTCTTACAAAGTACCCAGTTCCAGGTATTTTGTTATAAGCAACAGCAGCAGACTAATACAGTAGAGAATCTGGATAGATGTAAAGTTCAGTCACTTGCAAAATGAGGACAACATTTCTCTTGGATATCAGCATCACAGAAAATGGAAGTTCTATAAAACAAGGGCTTCTGCTTAGTGTAATAAAGGGATGTTTTATTTATTATAGCATTTTGTGAATATTTCTTGTCTATTTATGTTCTAAATGATGCACAGCTTTCCCTTGGAGGGACTAGGAAAACTGATAATAACTGTTATGGTATTGCCATGCTGAATTCAGAGCCTCAGTCCAAGCAGTAATATGTGTGTAGTCCAAATTAGCTGCTGCCAGCCCCAGACCTCAGGCAGAGGGCTTGCCAAGGGAATATAGCTGTAGATGGCTAATAACTTTAGGGGAGATGACAAAGCATAGGGAGACCAAACTCAAACAGAATGGTATTCAGGAATAGCAAGACTGAATATCCAAGTATGATGTGTGGGGCATGTTG